CAAAACGTTTACAATCAATAAATCTTATTCATTGTAGGCAGAGCTGGGCAGTATCTAGCTATCAAGTATAGTTCATACCAAATAAACTTGTAGTTGTGACATCGATGACGCCATTTTTAAAATCGTTATCGCCAACCGTGAAAATATTCGGCGTCGGATTGACTTAATTGGAATTTGAATTTCCCGCTGGCCATTCAGTTGGTAACAACACTTCAAAAAATGTAATGTTGCCAAATTAAATTCTTGACATTTTGAATTTTGATTGCGTTTTGACAGTTTACGAGTTTTTGGTTCAAGTGCTATTAATTGTGAGCTAGTTTTTCAAAGCAGCTTGTAGTGTGAAGTGTACAAGATGTCGAAGCAGCTTAATAGCCGTTGCAAAGAACTAATCGCATCCCTTTTACAATATTTTGAACGAGAACGCGATAATAATAGCCCTTAAATGCTGGTAGGTGGGTGTGATCAAATAGGAATTTTCAATTTGAACTTCATTTTCTCTCATTTTTAGCGCGTAGCAGAAGCTTTGAACTTAAGTATGTCCACTGTCTGTGCTATTTCAAAGAAAGTCAAAAATAACGAAGTTTTGGTAACATTATTTTGTATATGGGAGCAATTGAAAGCCAAACAATTATATGATGGCAGTCACATGTCATTGAGTAGAATGTTAAAAGAAATAGGCTTCAAATGGAAAAAAGATGACCCAAGACGAGGGCTCATGAAACTGCCTGATATTGCTGTTAAACACATATCATTTTTGAGGTCTTATCTAAGACTTAAGCAGGAGGCTTTGTACCAGTTTGTTTTCTTTCATGAATACAGAGAGTTGTATTATATGTACAAATGAAATGCTTTTTTTAGATATATCATACTTCATACTGGCAATGAAAATAGGATTCATTGAAGGTACATCGCTGGTACTTTCATCGAAAACTCAATGACTATTATGGGAAAATCAGAATCAGAATAGTTTAAAATATTCTTGATGGTCCAAATATTCATAATGTTTAATTATTTATAGTATTTAGAGTGGCTGTAAATAAAAAAGGTACTGAGCGTTACTATTATATTTTAAGTGATGATTGACAAATGAGTTGTTATTGAATATCTATCAAACCAAGCTTTGAAACAATGTTTATAATTTAGGTAATATATAATGTTTGCATTATATTATAATATAATCCATTATTGTTTCTGAAAATATTTTGACCAAAGGAAAATATGCAAGAGGCGGCAACGCTGTGCTGACCGAGCTTGACAACCCAACTATAAGTTTATTTGGTATGAACTATAGTTAAGCTACTAGCTCAGCTACTTTTTTGGTAGCTAATAACTTATTCAAGCTACTTTCAAAAAAAAGTAGCTTGTACCTGTAGCTTTTGGTAATGTGTTTCAAGTATTCATAAGCTACTGTGAAAAGTAGCTAGCTACTAAAACAAGCTACTTAAGCTACTTTTGGTAGATAGTTAATAGTTATAATGGCGGAAAGTGTCATTTACCGCCCGAGGGTTTGGTTAACGATACTCAAGGCCCAAAATACTTATTACGTTTTATGCGCAGCAGAATCTTCTAGTTCAAAAATAAAATAACTATACCTATAATATAATGGCATCCATTCGACATTGTTTTCATATATAATACCACAAGAGAAAAAATTTTGTTGGCAAAATTTTTGACTGGTATGAAAGTTTGTTTCTTGGCAATTTCGCGAATGACATTTTCTCGCCTGACGGCTCGTGGTTTTGTCAAAAATTTCATGAGAAAAACAAGCCAAATTCATTTGTAAAATTAATTTTTTTTAGGTGACACTTGTCAAACTCAATAGTTTTTTACCTTAACCACACAAAATTTTGTCGCTGAAAAACCATCATGTTGGTTTTGCCCAGGTAGGAACAGGTAGAAGTTTTGTCAGTAGGAAACCGGCCGTTCCTATGACATTTTGCCAGTGAAAGTGTACAAACACAGTGCAAGCAGGTTTCCGCTTACCAGTAACCAGCGCCGACTCGCAATTATAAGCGCAAAAAATGAATGCATGTTTTAAAATCGGCTAGAACACAGTAAAAAGCAGGTACTGTACCTGCTTTTTACTGTGTTCTAGCCGATTTTAAAACATGCATTAATTTTTCGTGCCTATTAGCGCGAGTCGGTGCTGGTTACCGGTAAGCGGAAACCTGCTTGCACTGTGTTTGTACACTAATGGCGTTTCCGATTGGTAGATCTAGTGCGGAACTAGTGCAATTTTTTTTATTTCTGTCTTTTTCTTCTACAGGTCGATTAAAAGGATGCAAATACACTCTGTGCGCACTGAATCTACCAATCGGAAACGCCATTGGTGTACAAACACAGTGCAAGCAGGTTTCCGCTTACCGGTAACCAGCGCCGACTCGCGCTTATAAGCGCGAAAAATGAATGCATGTTTTTAAATAGGCTAGAACACAGTAAAAAGCAGGTACTCTACCTGTTTGTTACTGTGTATAGCCGATTTGAAAACATGGATTCATTTTTCGCGCTTATAGGCGCGAGTCGGCGCTGGTTACTGGTAAGCGGAAACCTGCTTGCACTATGTTTGTACACTAAAACACTCTAGTGAAATAGTCAAAAAATAAACAGTTTTCCCCTTATAAAGGCACGTTTCCACCAACCTATCGCCCGCGTTTGAATTTACCGCTCGATAAAAGTAACTTTATGCTTTAATTGCTCAAGCTACAATTATCATTTTCCGGAAAATTCTTATCCTGCCTTGCTTAGACTAGTTTCTAGTTATCTCTGTAGGTACTTTTGTTTTATGTGTCCTATTTTATTCTCGCATTCGTAGATCACTGTGATCAAAGTGAACCTAATAAATTAATGTCCAGTAGTTTTTGACAAAAATATGAATACTACTTCTTAGAGAAAGTTAATATGTTATTTTCGTATGATGATATTATGAAATTAAATTAGGTACGGCATGTACATTGATAAAAGTAGCTTTAATAATAGCTTTCACTAATTCAAAATGTAGTTAAGTTACTAATAGCTTAGCTACTTTTTCAAAGAGGTAGTTGAGCTACTGAGTAACTTAGCTACTTACAATATAAAGTAGCTTGTAGCTTGTAGCTAGCTACTTTTTCCAAGTAGCTTGCCCAGCTCTGATTGTAGGTACCTATTATTGATTGGATTGCTATCATAATGTAGTTGATAAAGTAATTCAAAATTGCTATTTTTGTATTTAATACATGGATTAATTAGTATGTAACTCTTCGGTATGTCATCAAGAGACTGTTTATCATAATTTCCACTAGAAGCATATTAAATTGTTCAGTGCTAGTGGCAATAAAAAATGATGAACGGATCCTAAAGAAAAAAAAATTAAATTTAAGAAGGAGCGCTTCCCGCGCTCTCAAGTTGCTGACTACACACGCGAGAGGGCGCTGTAATCAGGAACAAAATGTCTGTATTGAGTTGTCTATCTATATTATAGGTTCGAGAGAGTTTTGTATCCCTTATCTATGTACCAGTACCTACGACTTTTTCAATTGACAGTTCTCTCTCATCAAGTATTCAGATATTAGGTGTGTTGAGGCAGTGAACTGAAGGACCATCATTCCACAAGTTGATCAATTGTTGTTCCCTTTCTGCTTTTTCTCGTTGTGTTCTTTCTTCTTTTTCTCGTGGTGTTCTTTCTACTTCTTCTCGTATTCTTGTTGTGTTTCGTCGGTTGCGTCTTTTTGGTGATGATTTTCGTGTTGTTATTTTCTCTCTATGGTTTCTAATTGTTTTTTCTGGTTTCTTGTTTTTTCTGTTTCTATAGGATTTGGAATTGTTTGGAATTTCTTTTTTTTTTAAGGCGCGTATCCATCTTACGAGCAGAATTATCGTGCGATGAGATTTGCCAGATGTATTTATTATAAAGTCCTAACAAGGTGTATTCTTTCGATCTGAACAAACTGATCGAAGTCACTTGAGGTTTGTTTGAAACAATTTTCGTCCGGCCTTGAAACGATTTCATTGGCCCCAGCTATTTTTTTTTGACGCCTCATGGACAAACTTCATATTATTACAATCAGTTTGTTCAGATCGAAAGAATACCGGGATAGTTCACGTTGTAAATTTATTTCCGCTGTTTCGTACAAAAGGTGCATGAAACAAAGTTAATAGAGGATTTGTTGTCTTAATTAAACCTTGAACCGTCGAAAGCCCGACAAGTATATTTGCTTGGGTCCAATTCCCCATGATTCTCCACAGATCCGGCAGGTCCATAGTGAGTGTTAGCTTTCTGGTTTGTTTTTGTCAGATGAAAGTTCCAGGTAAGTCTGATCGACTGTAATAGTATATTACATTCCGAGTAGGGAAGTGTTTCATTACTGTCGAGAGATTTATATAGTCAATCGAGACGCGAAGCGTCGAGACTGACTATTATTCTCGAGACAGAAATGAAAACTTTCCTCCGAGGTTTGTATACTATTTTATTAGCAAGCACACCATTAATTATGATTAGTCATTTAATTTTTTTTAATATTAAAAAAATAAAACATGCCAAAATGTGTCATTAACTGTTTTGACGTTTTTACCTGACATGTTCTCATTGTTGCCAGCAAAGGTAAATAAATTAGAGTGAGGGAAATCGAAGAGGGAAGTGACACAGGTAAAGTGACACTTTCAAATTTTTAAAAAGTCTGTAATGTCGAGATTACATATATGGTTGCAAATAAACAATTATAACCATTGAATAATATTTGACATCGAATGCACAAATACATTATCCAGAGGTTCATTGATGACAAATTTAGGTTTGCCCTAAGCTGGAAACATTTTGCTCTGGTAATAAAAGTCTCTCAGAACACCTAACTACGAAGGCTTGATCCCTTATGACTTAAAATAACGTAGATGGCCCCTGATAAACTCAAATTTTCAATCCGCCTTGAACCCTTTATAAACCATCAGAGCAATTGTTGATGAAAGAATCTAGAACACTACGAAATGGTCGGGATGTTTAGAAATGTGATTGTACTGACATCAGAAACAAAACAGCAGTGTATTTATTATTTAAATATTTTATACAAAGGTTAACTAAACCTATAATATTATATCTAAACTTTAAATATTATTTGCACATAGTGTCTTAGGGTTTTTTGGACTCTATATACAATTGCTATAAGCATAGATTCTGTATTTTACAAAATAACATTTATCATTGACTAGATATTTATTTCTACTATAAAGCTCACATTAAAAAACATTGGAAATCTTATATTTGCACAGATAAAACAAGACAGAAATTTTTTAAAATTTAGTTATGTTATATACCTTTCAGCTATACTTCTATATATTCACATTTATTTTTAGTCAGTCTTGATTTTAAAATTAATAAATTACAAAAAAAAATCAGCGACAATTAAAAATATTGTAATGTTATGAACGAATGTGTTAAATATTACCGCACTAGTGCAGTAATGATGTGAATAAAATTGGACTCAACAAAACGGACTATAATTTTTTGGCTTTCGTTAAAATATCAAAAATAACCTTTACGTTATAAGTTTGGAAAACAAGCTTTCACAGTATGAGTGAGATGTATGGAAGTTTAAAACAACAATATTCTATTTTATATTGTTTTGTTGAAAGTAATGTTTTGCAATAATAATGTATTTTGAATTTGCATAGTACACCTGTAAATTATGTAAAGTACTAAGTACCTACGTGGTGGAAACTAGTACTGACGTCAGTTTGAGTTTAATTTTGACCAGACTAGTACTGTGAAAGTTCATTTTCCTGACTTATACTAAATAGGTACTTACGTAAAAGTGTGTTTTATGATACAGCATAAAATAAATATATAGAATAGGAAAAAATCAACTTTTGTATGACCAAGCTTGAAAATTAACAATATTAAAAAGTTATCGCATTGTCAATAGGAATGACATTCCATCCAATTAGCAAAGTGCCACTTGACTTAGGTACCGTGTCACTTAATATACTACCATTATCCTAGTATTAGAAGCTTTATTTCCCCTCAAAAGTTTTTTTGTTTATGTACATAAATTAAATTATAATAGACAATATTATTAGACAATCATATTTACAACAACTTCTCATTCAGTTCAGCCAGTTACAAAAACGTGTTATCTTCCTTGTTCATAATCGAATCGTTGCCATTCCTGGAAGTCTTTATCGACGTCATCCGCACCTGGATAGTACCACCCGAACTATTATGCAACCTAGACCTGTAATAGAATCCAGACGCTTCCAGTTCGTTGCGTTTCGATTTGCAAAAAAGTCCAGCTATTGCCAGAAACATCCTATGTGTACCTTCCTAAAAAAAAAAAACATTTTTCTGTATTAATTTTTATTGAGGAAAAATTTTACCTTAATTTCCCTCATCCGGATACTGTAAATAATCGGGTTGGCCAACATTTTCGAAATCGTCAAAATATTATCGGTGAGCCGTAACACTAAAACCAAATACAAATGGTTGCAATTCAAATCTTCCAAGTCTTTGCCTGCAATGTAGCAGCCTGATATGCAGGTTAAAGTGTACATAAGTAGAGCTGGAGCCCAACCGAGAAAACAGGATCCCAATATAAGTAGAGTTGTGTAGATGGCTCTGACGTTGCCTTCTAGCTGCTTGCGTTCACGACTGAGCTTTTGACTAGGTTTTCCTGAAATAATTTTATTCAGCAACGTTTTTGTTTGATTGGACTATTATTACCTTTAATTCTGGTACTTCCGATTCTTGACAAATTATTCCACCTGTTTTGCTGTTTCTTGACCACAAAAAGTATGTGTGTGTAGCAGACTACCATGATAAAAATCGGCACGAAAAATAGCGAAGAGTACGATATTCTGAAGGAGAATGTGTTCATAAACCTGCAAATGTAATTTTTATTAAAACAATAAACAAGTTTCAGAAAATACACGTCTCAGGATTATTGTATCAGCTGGGAACGTTTAATTTACCGAGTCGTCCTTCATGTCAGTGAATCGTAAATCGTTTAAGTTCAATTGCTATAATCCGGAAGGCGGCTTTACGATTCATAGAACATGGTGAATAATAAATTATACATAGTAGTATGTATTTAGCTTCTTTTAGCATTAAAACATCACTCTATTAACATGTAAAATAAATATCAAAGGGGATGTTGTTAATGGGAAAATGACACGAGTTAGGCAAGGTATGTAAACACGTCCCTTTTACTCCTATTTTCTGAAAATAATTAACAACCAAGCATTTTGTGCCATTAATTTGCCTTTTTGAGTGCGTAGATATTACCAACTCAAGAATTTCAATCATGTTCTATGAGATTGTGTAAAATAATTGAAGTAAATACAAATTATTTTTTTTGGGTTAGTTATTTGATGTACTGACATCAAAAAAAATTCTGAAATATAGAAACATCTCTTCAGAAATGGAAATTGAGACAGTTCAATTTACATAATCCATCTAAAAGAAACTCAATTTTCTTTTAGATGTGATGCCTCTATACAATTCAGGTAAATACGACTATTATTGTCTTTTGTAAAAACACTTTGAATAAAGGAAAAATTGAACTTACTCCGGTGTATCAGCAATATTGTTTATAAAATTATTTTGCAAAGTTCCTTCGCTGTCAAATGCTGCACACATGCTTACAACAGTTACAAAGGGACATAGCCAGAGAAGCGAAATTACTGCTGAAACCTGGAACAATGAAAACTTGATTAAAATTTTATCAGTAGAAAGTCTTTGTAATTTGAGCAACAGAAAGAGTTTAATGGAATGTCTGCAACTTACCTTTTTACTTGTAACTATCGAATTGTAATGTAATGGCTTCAAAATTCCTATGTAGTGGTTTAGGCTTAGTGCTAGCAGGTGAACAACTGTTATAACTGAAAAAGAAAACGAAATTTATATATTACTTTAGAAAAACAAATTCATGGCTCTTAACCACATAAAAAAAAAACGTTAAGTCAGCAGGAGTCGTCGTATAAAGTTTTATGTTTATCAAGCTCCTATTCTAGAGTTTTGACGCGAAATTTTGTTTTTACAGTGTTAAGACTGACAAGTGAATTTGGATTAAAATAGAACCAAAGTTTTACGTCGTATAAATGAATGAATGGAAGTTGTTTAAAGAGGTTGTTCCGCTCTCTCTTGATGCGTTCTTATGAGTCCCTAGACAAGTAAATTCTTGGTATAAGTTCAAGTTTTTTGCTTTTCTAAGATGCTGTCTCTTATCCTGCATCGACTGGTTAAGTTATTTAAGTGCAATTTTGAGTTTTACCTATTCCTAGTGCAGGAACCTCTCTAAGTAGTCTCAAGACTCCCGGGAATAGGATTCTCATGCTTTTTTAGTTGGAATTTTATTTTTAGGAGATCCGGGAATAGGATTTTCATGCTTTTCTATTTTGAATTTTATCTCTAAGAGAGACGAAGGCTGGTTAAACAGCTGACGACTAAGTTATGACGTCGGAAATGGTGACACCGGCGGCGATTACCAAAAACGTGGCCGATAAGCAATCCTGTAGGTATGTATCATTCTTGCCCTGTACGTTCGTTTTCAGCAAGGATAATACACGGGATTGCTTATCGGCCTCGTTTTCGGGAATCGCGAAAATGCCCCAGAGGTCAATTGCCTCAAATTTTATCTGAAGTGAAGCTCCTATAGAAGCTATAATTGTTTCTGAAGACACTAACAAAATTGATGTTGTTCCTTCATTTTCTATGGATGGAGAATGAGCTTGAAGAAGTTTTTGTTTAAAAAACTATGGTAGAAGTTGGAGAAGAAAAAACCTGCATCTGCAAATTTCAAAAGAGCCCAAAGCAGTTAAAAAAAAATCTGGAATTACTCAGAAAGATGTGCCTGTTGTTGAAGAAGATAATTTTGCAAGTATTTAACAGTTTTTGAAGATCTGAAGAAGGAACTCAGAAAAGAGCTGTAGAAAAAATATTTGTGGAAAGAGTTTTTGGTCAAAAACCAGAAATTTCTGAGTCTTATTTGAATGAGTCAAAATTCCTTTTGAACATGAAGTTTATAATTTAGTATTTTGTTAATACTTATGAAGTAATTTCTATTCTAGAATGGCCAGAAATAAGAGTCAAGTAACATGGGGCCTGGGATAGGATTTTTCTGTTTCTTTTTTGTTCAAATTTTTTAAACAGAGTTTAGGATTTTCTAGTTTAGTTATAACTTTTCATCTAGCTGCTTATCAACTTCATTTATAAGATTGTCAGGGATTCAAGATTACTTTTCTAGCCTCATTTCGGTTCTAGTAGACTCAGCAATGAGATTTTCATGCTCCTGTAGTTTGAATTTTATCTCTAGGAGAGCCAGTAATATAGGTATAGGATTTTCATGCTTTCTAGTTGGAATTTTTTCTCTAGGAGATTCAGGAATACGATTTGTATGCTTTTCTAGTTTAGTCTCAGTTCTTCAAGAGTCAAAAATGATTTTTATAGACTTTTTTCAAGTTTATTAACAAACATCTCTCTTCTTTCATTTCCCGATAAGTATCTGAAGTTCCTTCCAAAAATTACCTTCCAACAACTGAAGCCTGAAGCTCCAATAACTGCGAATATTTCTCGTCATCAAACGAACCACGTAACGCTAACCTAATACAGAAATGCAAAACTTTCCCTTTCCCTAAGATCACACTTAAGATGCTTGTCAACATTATTGGCAAGCAAGTTTGAGCCGAAACAATCCAAGACGGCTTTTATCGTCCCTCAATATATTGACAAGCACTTAGGCTATCCACAATATTCCGAGCGGAACGCAATTTTCTGCTCTGGCTGCATAAGGGATAATAAACCAACATTTTATGCGAGACGTGATCGGCATGGCATAAAATACTATGTTGTTTGGTTGATGTAAAACTGAAGTTACTCGATATTGTGCATTTGGAAATATTATATCAGACGAATATAGAATTTCACTAAAGCATAATATGAGTTTTATAAAGCATGTTACTGTTGTAGCATCCGCGCCAAGCACTCTATTATTTAGGTTAGATGGTAAATTGCGAGCGGTCGTATTTGATGTTAATTATTTCCTTGAGCAGCCACTGTAAAATAAATTTGTAGGGGCGGGTCTATTTGCAAGTGAGAGAAACAACTGAAGTATGGTTATGCGTTAATAAATATACTTTATTAATGAGAAAATAACCAGAGATTTTCCAATTACAATGGTACACCTTTCTAAAATCAAAATAAATAATTCTAAATGATGCTAACTGACAGCCACCTTTATACTGCTTTGAGCTTGTAAATAGAATGTTACAATCAAAAGCCTTGTACTTAAATAACTCTTGCATAGAGCCCTACTACATTAGGTTACAATATTTTTAATTAAAACTTCTACACGTCAAAATGTTACAATTTTTAACACGTCCAATTCTATAAGCGTATAGAAACCCCTGATTTCGCTTACTGCCAAATTTGTACAAAGCTTTACTCACAATCGAAACCTCAGCCAGAGAGAATACTATCACAAACTATCAAATATGTTAATTCTTTACGATCTACACTCAGACATAACAATACTATCTCAATTCAATATTACGTATTCAATATAAATTCTTAGAGTTCAAAATATTTAACTGTAATCATTAATCCAAACACACAGATTTCAATAGTCATTAACTTTCCTATTTATACTAAACAAAATATTGTCACGGCTTTGTATTGCCTGACAGAAATCTTGGGTTCGTTTATTCCAAAAATCAAAGTCCAATTAACACAGCAATAATTTATTCCACGTAACAATACACTCTGATACAAATTACTTTAATAACTAACTCAACAATCAAACTCTTTACAACAATAATCACTATTTAACTCGTATCACAGTCAAACTTTAACTTAAACTTACAAGCTAAAACCCGTCCTTATATATAGCCGTAATTTATTCCTGTAAATTCCAGAAGAACCGCGATCGACGTTGTTCCCGAACATCACGTGAAATCTCGAATCTGCTATGCAATTCTTGACACACTGGCGGCCGTTGCACTGCCCTCCTCTTAAGGTTGATCGTCCCGATCAACTTCACGCCCATGATATTTCGTTAACCTGTCCAGATGTACAACTTTCATCTCACTCCTGGTGTTGCGTTGGACTCGATAAACCAAATCATTGATCCTCTTGATTATTTTGTAGGGTCCTTCCCTTGCTGAAGACAATTTCGGCGATATTCCTTTCTTTCTAGCTGGATTATACAGCCACACCAAATCACCTTCTTGAAATTCGGCTGAATTGGCTTTCAGGTCGTATCTGGTCTTCATCCGGTCACTGGCTAGTTGAATATGCTCCCGAGCAAAATCATGGATACCCAGAAGTCGTGCCCTTACTTCGTCGGCATAGTCTCGAATTTCTTTTCGTTCTTCTTCAGGTATCCCAAACATCAGATCGCAAGGTAACCTGAGTTCTCTTCCAAAAACGATTCTGGCTGGACTTTCACCTGTTGACTCGTGAACAGCTGCTCTGTAAGCCATTAAAAAAAGCGGCAAATGCTTGTCCCAATCTCGCTGGTTCCTTGCGACCACTTTTGTCAGGTGTTCCTCTATGGTCTTATTGAATCGTTCTACCATGCCATCAGACTGTGGATGTAAAGGTGTTGTCCTTGTCTTACGAATACCCATGATCTCACAAATTTTCTTAAAGATGGCAGATTCGAAGTTTCGTCCCTGGTCTGAATGTAACTCTAGTGGCACACTTCGTCCACTAGCACCTGGGCAACAGTGATGGCTTCTTGATTGGGAATAGCGAAAACTTCTGGCCATTTACTGAAGTAATCCATGATAACTAAGATGTATTTGTTACCACGCTCTGACTCTGGAAACGGTCTGGCTACATCTATCGCTATTCTTTCAAATGGAAGACCGACGTTGTACTGTGCCATGGGCCGCCGAGATCTTAGTTAGGGCCTTTACTGGTAGCACAGATGTCGTATTTTCGGCACCAGCTTTTAACGTCTTGATGGTAGTGAACCCAGTAGAAACGTTCCCGGATTTTGTCCAAAGTCTATTTAACTCCGAAATGTGCCCCTGAAGTTCCGTCGTGTATTTCTTTTAATACATCTTCCACTCGGTCTTTTGGGATAACCAGTTGGCTCTTAGTGGATTTCCCATCGGCACTTTCCCAAACTCTCTTGAGCAAACCATTTTCTACGGCCAGAGAGTTCCACTGGGCCCACAACGCCTTGTAAATCAAGCTCTTGTTCGACACTTCCCTCCATTCTGGCCTAAATTTATCATTTTCTTTAAGATGTAGAATTTGCCCGATGTCCTGGTCTACCTCCTGATCTTCTCTCATTTGTTTGGTAGTCCATTTATTATCGACGATCAGGCCCGTTCTCCTTATAGCTGGACTAGTTTTTTTCGCATGTACATCGATTCTTTGACAGTGCTTGCAATCTTCTTTACATGGTCGTCTAAACAGAGCGTCAGCATTTTTATGCAGGTTTCCAGGTCGATGTTTAATTTGGAAATCGTACTGCTGCAATTTCTCAATCCATCTAGCAAGCTGTCCTTCAGGACTTTTCATTTCTATTTCATTCCATTATTTTTTAATAACGTGGGCTATTTGTCTCCGTTTCACGGGGTAGTGTTACTTTTTTTTTCAATTTGTTAATAATTTGTTAAAAGATATTTCCGGCAGCATTTGCTCTCAGGCAGGAATACAGTTAAATAGATGCACATAATACTATATATTGATAATAGTGTCGACACATAACTCGATCGGGGTAGGAAAAATGCGGTCGTCTCCCAGACTAGTAGGTCACAATTCGATATTTGCTTAACTAGTTCGACAGTTCCAATAATGTCTCCTTCTTTTATTCTTACTGTTTCGGCAGAAACATTGGCAATTCTTATCATAATGTCTCCATTTGTTTTTA